AAATGAGATAGAGTATTGTAAAAGAATATATTGAGAAAAATGGCAAGAGAAGTGGGATAGAGGAAACAAGGTGAGATTTTATTATAGCATACAAAAAAAGTTGGAGGTTTAAGGAAATGTTATAGAAATAAAAAGGAAGAAGATGTTATATCTAAAATAAGATTTGGACGTGCAGGATTAAATAGTACTCTTAAAATAATTAACAAACACAATACAGGGTGTTGTAATTATTGTGGAAAATTAGAAACAGTGCAACATATTTTCTTAGAATGCAACAAATATATACGAGAAAGAGAGGTCTTACATAGAGAGTTAAGTAGAAATAAGAATAAATTAGATATTAGAGATTTGTTTCYAAGGTCATCAGGAGATGTAGTTTTTTGGAGTATTTTAAAATTTCTAAGAAGAACCGGTGTTATGGAGAGGTTATAGGCATCGGATCCATACTCCAATCTGGAAGATGGCGGTATTGCACCTAAGTGTTGTTTGCCAACCGCCATTAAATAAGAGAAGAAGAAGAAGCAGGGTTCTACTACAGGGCGCAAACAGCTTTGGACGCATCATGCTTTCAGTTCGCCTCGTAGCGGCCCTTGTCCGCAACCTGCCTCGAAGGGCTGGATATGTAAGCAACTCCTACGTGTTTGTCCTTAAAGTTTTGTTTACAATGACGCGAAATAAGGACTATTTTATCACTCAAATCGCTGCTGTGTTTTAGCGTTGCAGTCTTTAAACTGGACGGAGGACACGCAGGGGCCCTTCATTCATCTCTGTTCTTAAAAATGACAGACATTTAGGGCATTACTCTGCTGTTATACGATACTTAATGATAAGTATAATCTCTACTTAGTGCATTGCATAACTGTCATCGTAAATCTTGTAAACTAAAGAATTGAGTCAATAAATTAGCATTAGGCTAACCTCAGCTGTCCTCTTGCTAGCAAGTTTTTGCAGAACTGCAAAAGATATGCTTATGAAACATGAGCGTAAAAATCTGACTTGGACATTTGCTTCAGTCAAGTTTTACATTGAAGTAACAGAGCCTATACGTATATGTGTGAATAACATTTACATTTTGCATTATTTTAAAACGTCAAAGTTATCCATCATATCCACTTGTGCTTTAAAAGTGTTGCTTGCGTGAAAAGATAAATTTATTGCATAACAAAATATTAACTTGCACTATATTGAGATTTTTTTTTACCTTGAAAGGACTTTCTTGTTTGACAGTATGAAATGTTTAATATAAATGATCTTAAAGTTATCAGATTATCTCCTAAAGAGCAATAAGGGTTTTTGTCACAAGCAAGCTCAATCTAATACCTGATGACTCTTGTTAATACTTGCAAAGTTTTACTAGTCTTTTAGCAATATTATTTGTTTATGTATACTTATATTATTATAAACTTGTAATACTTCAGTCATGTTCCCAGCTTTTTTAAAAATTACATTCAAATTACTTTCAATAATTTAATAAATTTAATTTATGAACAATACAATGTGCATCTTTAAATACATCACTACTTTGAGCCTGTCAAACAACTACACAATTTATTTCTCATCACATGTATTGAAGGGAACATAGGGGTTCCTTGACCTTTATGATACACTTGTACAAAATTTCTGTTAGATATGGCTAATTAAGTAAATAAATGAGCATGTTTGTATTGTATCTGTATATAAAACTGATTCTATTATTAATTATCATGGCAAAGGTTTCCAAGCATGTTGCTGCAGCGTGTGTCGGAGTCAAAAATCTGCACACTACTCATCTGCAGTTCCAGAAAATGGGTCAGTGTTTCACAAAACGTGTCCTACATTTTAGGAGGGCTTATGTGATGGAATCAGTGTTTAATTAGTGATCCATGCCCATTATTCACTCGTTGAAAGGCACAGCCGAGGTGTCATCCATTCTGGAGGAGAAGATCTTGGGAGCTGATACCAGCGCTGACTTAGAGGAGACTGGTCGCGTCTTGTCCATTGGTGACGGTATCGCCAGAGTGTACGGTCTGAGGAATGTGCAGGCTGAGGAGATGGTGGAGTTCTCCTCGGGTTTGAAGGTAAACTTCTGCTCAGGGAGTTGCATTGCAGTTTGACAATCTTAGCTTAACCGCAAATCAAACAAGTCTAGGGTAATTTGCAAAGACAGTGATCTGTTATTCTGAATATAGTAAATAAGCAGCCATTTAGGTTACATTTTGTGGTGTGTAGTGCCAGAGAAATGTGCTCAAAGTTTTTAGCTCTGCGTAGTTAAATGCCCCATTTATTATTTTCTTGTCCAGGGTATGTCACTGAACTTGGAGCCGGACAATGTTGGTGTCGTGGTGTTTGGTAATGACAAGCTGATCAAAGAGGGAGACATCGTCAAAAGAACAGGTGCTATTGTCGATGTGCCTGTCGGTGAAGAGCTTCTGGGCAGAGTTGTTGATGCTCTGGGAAATGCCATTGATGGAAAGGTACTCATGTTTATTCATTGCCCTAAGAAGTTATTATTAAATTTGTAGTGATCCCATGAGAGACTTTAGACTCCACCCATATTTTTATCAGATTTAAAGTAATTGAAATCATTCTGATGTGGTTTTGTCCTTTCTTCTGTTGAAAGGGTCCTCTTGGCTCCAAGACCCGCAGGCGTGTGGGTCTGAAGGCCCCTGGTATCATCCCCCGCATCTCCGTGAGGGAACCAATGCAGACTGGCATCAAAGCCGTGGACAGCTTGGTGCCCATCGGTCGTGGACAGCGTGAGCTCATCATTGGGGACCGGCAGACTGGGTTAGACGGTTCTGTTCAAAGTGAATGTTTAAGCACAAGGCAGACGTTGGCTGTGTCCAAAACGGCAGGACGGGTCCTCCGAAGGTCGAATTTGTCGGCCGCATACGTCACGGCACCGCGACGAAGGACGTCCAAAACGGAAGACTCCTCCGATGCGGCCGACAAATACGTCCTTCCTTTGGCCCGAATCGAAGGACAGGTCTGATGGATCCTTCCCGGCCCAGCATATCCCATAATGCATTGCGGCCCGACCGGAGATGTTTTATGCTAGTAATGGTGGACGAAGCGAGAGAAAAGAATACATTTTAAATAAAAGTATGGTGATTTAAAAAAAAAAAAAATTAGCGGTTGTAATTCTAATACTTTTATCATTTGTATGGACATGTTTTTAAATATTATTTTTTCGTCATAAAAAACGCGAAATAAACATGAACCTACAGCGGGTCAATTAGTTCTTCAAATGATACTTTTAAGTTAATTTTATAGTTTTGTGATATTAATAATGCTAATATATTGATAATTTTCTAGTTTTGATTTAAGTTTGCTTGTTTAGCATCGTCACAGTTGCTAGGAGACATGACATACACCGGGGTAAGGAGGGGAGGCTAGACCGTCCAAATCCACAGCCTCTTTTTTTTCCGGTCTTCCCGGTCTACCAAGGACCCGGCCCACCGAGACCGGGGAGTCTGGGTCCTCTGGAGGACCCGTCCTGCCGTTTTGGACACAGCCGTTGTGTCCAGCACCTTTTGAAATGATGTTTTCAACAAACTCCAAAGCTAAAAAAAATTCACATTGTTGGGGTTTTACATTCACGTTGCAGCAAAACTGCAATTGCCATCGACACGATCATCAACCAGAAACGCTTCAATGATGGAACTGATGAGAAGAAGAAGCTGTACTGCATCTATGTCGCCATCGGCCAGAAGAGATCCACAGTGGCCCAGCTGGTGAAGAGGCTGACTGATGCCGATGCCATGAAGTACACCATCGTAGTGTCTGCCACGGCCTCCGATGCTGCTCCGCTGCAGTACCTGGCTCCTTACTCCGGCTGCTCCATGGGGGAGTACTTCAGAGACAACGGCAAGCACGCCCTCATCATCTACGACGATCTCTCCAAGCAGGTGAGCTTCACTTCTTAATGTTGGGCTTTAAACAGGAGTTGAATAAAGGGATTTTCAAAAGAGCGCTCGTAGGAAAGGATCGAACCCCTTTTTTTGCTACCTTTCTGCAGGCCGTCGCCTACCGCCAGATGTCCCTGCTGCTCCGTCGTCCTCCCGGACGTGAGGCTTACCCAGGAGATGTCTTCTACTTGCATTCCCGCTTGCTGGAAAGAGCTGCTAAGATGAATGACAACTTTGGTGGTGGCTCCCTCACAGCCCTGCCCGTTATTGAGACGCAGGCTGGTGACGTGTCAGCCTACATTCCAACTAATGTCATCTCCATCACAGACGGACAGGTAAGCAACTGATTGGTTTCATTTTGACGGGATCAACCATGAGCGATTCTTTTAATACGACGTTTGTACACAGATCTTCTTGGAGACGGAGCTGTTCTACAAGGGCATTCGTCCTGCCATCAACGTGGGTCTGTCTGTGTCACGTGTCGGATCCGCTGCTCAGACCAGGGCCATGAAGCAGGTTAGTCCTCTCGTCTTCTCCCCGTTTTTTTTCAACCTCTCACTGACAGATCTTCCATGTGAACAGGGGCGGAGCTAGACTTTTTTTGCAAGGGGTGGCCGAAAGCAATCTGGATTTGAAAATTCAAGATGGATTCCACAGCTAATTCCAAATGGCTTTAATTCAGCTGTTTTAAGAAATATTGAGCTGAGCATTTGTGTGGTCACAGCAATGAATGATCTAAAAAACATGCTGAATGTTAGTCACAATTTATTATTTAGCCATTTTTAGATGTACGAAGCCGTAAATTAGTGTAGAATTAGCTGAAAACCATCTTTACCAAATTGTAAATGCTAATCAAAGAATAAAGAAAACTGTTGTGGAGTAGCTAAGGGAGATCACATGCCAATTGTCAATGCTAACCCCTAATTAAAGGGGCTATATCATGCAAAATCAACTTTTGAGTTTTATATCATGTTATGAATTTATCCTGTCATCAAAAACATGCCCAGAGTCTTTGCTTTGTGCTGAAATGGACGGGACAGAAGCGGAAGGAGGTTCTTAAAGAGACAGAGGCCAATTTCAAGGTGTTTAGAAGAGGAAGTGATGAGAAGAGTTTATTTTCTATTTAAACATAAAACGGCATTTTAATAACAACTAAAGGTGACATAGATACTTTATTATGGTATAGAATTTAAAGGGATCCCTGATTAGTTGTAACATTAGACTTTATTTGATAAACATATATTTTAACTGTAAAATAAAGACTGTAAAAATACTGTAGGATGTTTAGGTTTTGCAAATTTTTAAAAATATATTTTAACTCGTACGGAGCCATTTTATTTACGCACAAAGCATTCTGGGTAAATGATGATGTGGATAGGTCCTCGGTGCGAGGCTGCTAGCAAGCTGTATTCACCCTGAAGGTTAATCTTGGACAATATCTGATGATCGACTCTTTTAAATGAAACCAGAGAGCGTTGACAGAGAGGAGAAGGTAGAAATGARTCAGCCTGMAACTGAAAATATYGATGGAGGACAACAGAGCTGCTTCATGGAAGAAGAACCTCAGCTTAGCCTGTTAGCCTTTGTGCTAGCGCTGATGCTATATTGCCTTTATATGTATTAGCTCGGCGCTAGCGCGACAAACAAGCTAAACTGAGGTCCTCCATCTATATTTTCAGTTACAAGCTGAGTCATTTCTACCTTCTCCTCTCTGTCAACGCTCTCTGGTTTCATTTAAAAGAGCCGATCATCAGATATTGTCCAAGATTAACCTTCAGGGTGGATATAGCTCGCTAGCAGCCTCACACCGAGGACCTATCCACGTCATTGACCCAGAATGCTTTGTGTGTAAATAAAATGGCCCTGTCCGTGTAATGTATTTTTAAACTTTTAGTTAAAAAATTATAAAAACTAAACAGACTACAGTATTTTTACAGTCTTTATTTTATAGTTAAAACATATGTTTATCAAATAAAGTCTAATGTTACAACTAATCGGGGATCCCTTTAAATATATGCCTGAGAAACATAATTTTGCCCCTTTAAGCTAACCGTTAATGCTAATTTTACAAAGGGCTATCATTCAGTCTATGTTAAACATACACAGCTGAGAATGTATATAGTACAGTAGTATCGGAGAACAATCTTTAACAAAACCTCCATTCAAACTCAAAATCCTCACCCACTCCTCTGGCTCCGCCCCCACATGTGAACTCCGTTATTTCTGCCTGTCATCAGGTGGCTGGTACCATGAAGCTGGAGCTGGCCCAGTACCGTGAGGTGGCTGCCTTCGCTCAGTTTGGTTCAGATTTGGACGCTGCCACGCAGCAGCTGCTGAACCGTGGGGTTCGCCTGACCGAGCTGCTGAAACAGGGGCAGTACTGTGAGTGTTAACTGCTTCTTTCAACATCAGCTTCAGATCGTGGCTCTGTTTTTGTCTCACACTGCCTGGGTCTCTTTCATCTCTCAGCTCCGATGGCTATTGAAGAACAGGTAGCAGTCATTTATGCTGGTGTGAGGGGACATTTGGACAAAATGGAGCCGAGCAAGATCACAAAGTTTGAGAAGGCATTCCTGCAGCACATACTGAGTCAGCAGCAAGACCTGCTGGCAGCTATTAGGTACGTTCAATTCTTTAGGAGTAAAATAATAGTATGAAGATGTCTTCTAACTTATTTTCTTGTTTGCAGGGCTGATGGTAAAATCTCTGAAGCATCTGACGCTAAGCTGAAGCAGATTGTGTTGAATTTCCTCTCCAGCTTTGAGTAAAGTTGTACATTTTGGTTTAAGTTGTAGTTTGTTTGCATTGTGTGGCATCAGTCAAAATGTCTCTGAACTTGGAAAAATATATAAAAGAGGCACTTGGATCTTTAATGTACAGATATCTCTTACTAGAGAATAAAAGTGTTCCAACTAAGTTTCAAAGTCATCTTTTTTTCTTGCAGTGCTGATAATCAAGCTAGGATTCTAGTATTTCTATTTATTTAATCGGTATTAAAAAAACTTTTACAGACAACGAATCTGCAGTGCCTCCTGCTGGGTAGTGATGGACACTACAAGTTATGAAAAATCTTGTGTTTTTAAATATAATTAAAGACTAAACTATCCACCAGTTTATTCAAATAGCTCTTTATTAAAATATTGGGTGAATCAACCTTTTCTAACTGTGAAACATTTTTTATGATGTGAAAAGTTGTGAAAATTAGAAAATAATATCAAACCTTGTGCTCAGAATGATAAAGTGGCATTAAGAAAAACAGTCCTCATAGTAAAACGTATACCGGTATACAAAATAAAATAGTATTAAAACCATATATTACACCCAGTACTGCTTCACATTCATCACAGGTCTGTGGCGGTTGTGTTTGGGTATATTGTTCTGCTTTATGTAACGGGTCGTAGTAATCCCACTCCAGAGCTGAGGACAGCACACCATTGGACAAACCATCACTATCTGCTGACAGAATCTGCAGTGAGACGCCTAAAGGAAAAAAACTGAAATATATTAATTTCAATAAAAATACACTTTACATCAGTCTAAGAAGCTTTGTTACAAGAAATAATCTACCACACAAATTTCCTTATTTTTCTGCTAGGTTTTTATAGAACTTTTTAGGACACTTTATTTGGAGTCCACTGAACATATTTCTGCAAAGTGAAAACCAATTAATGAAGTAAACCAACAATAAATAAAACTCCTTAAATGGAGGGGAATTTTGTAAAGATTTTTCAAGGACAATGTCAAATTTAATCCTGCTTTTTCCTGGTAAAAAAGTAGTAATACTAATATATATATATATATATACAAAATAAAATACATCAGATCGTGTATTTTTAAAATTAGGATAAAATTATTTCACTATAATTTATTTATTTTTTCAAATTAATATGTAATTTTTACATTTTATTAACCTCTTTATAGGCGTTTGGTCAAATGAGTTTTAAATAGTAAAAGTTTCATTCATTCATATATTATCTTTCCCCACTTCTTCCTTTCAGGATCATGGGAGTCACTGGTGCCCATATCCAGTATGTGTGAGGGGTGGGGGACACCCTGGACAGGTCGCAGGTCCATCACAGGGACAACACAGCAGCAGAGCCAATCATTAATATTATGGTGACAAATACAAATCGTGAATTTACAGAACCACGTTTCTTAGCAGAAATAGTTCATGTTGTCGTACCTAGAATTCACCGCTAGATGGCAGCAAGCAGCTCCTGAATTTGAATTGGTTTCCTGCAGCACTCTATGGACAGAAAAGATCAGCCTCCAGTTTTTATCAGAGGTGTCAAGCAACAAAATACAAATAATTTGTTACCTTTTAAGTATAATTTTTTGGTTATTCATACTTTACTGGAGTAATTAGTTTTCTGCCTACATTTTTACTTCTACTGCATGTTAAAAGTATTTTATTTCACTTGCTTGTCTTTTGCTTACTTTTACTTGTTTCATTCCGGCTTGTCATTGTTCAGAAAACAAACAAACAAACAACAACAATTCAGATATTTGGCACCTCCTGGATAGTGAATTTGCCTGTGGCTGGATGAGAAATATAAATATATACCATTCTGGCATTGTTTGTACAATCCATCACACCTGTATAACACAAATCAGGTCACACTTCAGCAGGACATATCAGATGTATGTAGCCTGGTATGAAGATGACTCAGAGATGTGCGACTGAAACAGGAAGACTAGTGCATCTCAAAATTTTCAACATTATATAAACCTTTATTTTAACAGGTAAGAGAGTAGACAACTAATTCTCATTTACAATGATGGCATGGTCATTTTTTAAATGAAATTATAATCATTAAGGCCTTTAGAAAAAAGTTATTCCTGGAGAGGTGGACTTGTCAACTATGGTCCCCTGTGGTGTAACCTAAGCTTTTGTCATTAATCTTTTTTTTTCTTTCTTTACATTACTTTCACTTTTATACTTTCAGTAGTTTTAAAACCAGTACTTTTATACTTTTACTTGAGTAAAAAGCTTGAGTTGATTCGTTTGAAGTCTTTTTAAACTCTAGAATACTGTATATACTTCTTGAGTGATGAATGTGAGTATTTTTGACACCTCTGGTGTTTGCATTAGTCTAATTTTAATAAAGAAAGACAAGATACCAGCTAAAAATCCTGAAGAAATTAATATTACATAAGACATTAAAAATTGATTTGCAATTCCTTGATGGAATTAGAATTTTGAACCTTACAATCCTGCCAGAATTGTCTCCCACAGATTGGTTTTATGCCAGCCAATCAAGGGTCTATAGCATTCCTTGAAATAATGCATGTCACCTGCTGTCTTTCATCCCAGAGTTTTAGAAAAAGAGTAATCTTATTATGACAAATGAAATTGAAAATAGCAATGCGAGATCTCATGCTCAGAATCAAACTGACTCTAAAAGTTAATCAGTGACCATAATGTAGATTTAAAAAGAAAAAAATCTGTCCAAGTGTCCCTGAGAAAACGGTGAAGCATCAATCCAGAACTACACGGTAGAAGTAAGTTATTAATCTGAAAGCAGCTGGCATCATCTCATCCAGACCTCTGCTTAAACTGCCAAACTTGAGCTCCATGAATTGATTAGTTTATTGATTGTCATGGACACATCTTCAGACTGTGAAAGCCTAGGTTTTAGGAGCTCAAATACCAAATATACCTGAAGTACATAGAAAAAAATACATTTTTAGCTTCTATACAATGTGATTATCTGAGATTTTAGGTCATATTCTGTCTCTTAAAATAAAATCGAGCCTGCTCAGTTCTATTTTAGCGGGGCACACTCAGAAAACCAGCAGGGGTTTAAATAATTCCTTCTCCCACTGTGCTTGAAACTGAATACCAACATTCTCAAAGCTTTGTAAATGGAATGTCGTAGACCACATTGTACAAACGACTTTATTCTGTTTAATCTCTGCAAGAAGACAGAAGGCAATGGATTATTTTTTTATCATGACTTAAAACAGCTAGATAAAAATTATATGAAGACACAACAGCCTAAATGTAACTTAAATAAATGCTTTTAGGACCTTTATTTGAGTCTCTTATAGTCAGTGTAGGGTTAGATTTTTTATGGCACATTTGGACACAAATTATGTTTTAGCTTCCCATTGAACATACCACTAAGACAGTGGCAGATCTAGGAATTTTCTGAGTATTGAGCCATTAAGGCACCCCAATATTCATCACCACTCTTGAGCAAAGGACAGATGAGTGACTGGACAAGGGCACTTCAGGGGGTCAATCAGATTTCAGCTGGGTCCAGTGCCCCAGTGGCCCCGCCCCTAGAACCGCCACTGTTCTAAAAGCAAGGAAATAAATTTGAGCCTGCTTATTTCCCTTTTAAATGGAGCCACATTTGGTAGGAAAATGCATTTGTGGTTTGAGCATAAACAGGTTGTGCCTTTGAGCAGGGGTGGAGCTAAGCTTTTTTTTGCAATGTGTGGCCAAGGTGTTTTTAGGGGACGTATGCAAATAAAGAAAAACACTCTAGATTTGACAATTCAAGATGGCCACCACACCTAATTCCAAATGGCTTTAATTCAGCTATGAAATATTGAGCTGAAATTTTGTGTGAACATAGCTACAAATTCAATTCAGTTCAGTTCAATTCAATTCAAGGTTCAGGTTCAACTCATTGCAGATGAGGAAGAAGCAATAGCCATAGTTTGTGGACTATTTTAACAGAGAAAAATGAAATAAAATCAAAAAGACATCTCTAGCATCCAGCGGACTTTCCGTTGAGCCATGACAGTTTTTTTGTCTTCTGTACTTTGGATTCCCCTCCATGTTTATTTTACCTCGCTTTTTTATTGGCTACACGTCACAGTCAACGTTCTGCATTCTTGTTTGTCCTCGGGGGAACACCACACATGACAGGATGGCGGGCCAAGACAATCCATCATGTTGGATATCCCTTATTTGAGATCGGAGTGGTCATGACGTCCTTCTGAGTTGACTAGATCCCTCCTAAAACTCCACAAATGGCAGGAATACTTCCTAAAATTATCTTTAGAGCTATCACGATAATCAGAGCATCTTTAAGATTGTCGCAAGGGCAATATCAGGCTGCCATGTGAACCCAGCATTAACAAATTCTAAATGCTAATCAAAATTTCAAGATGGCCACCACAGCTATCTTTAAAAGTCTATAATTCAGCCCTTTAAGACCTATTGAGATTAAGTTTGTTGTGGTGTAGCAAAGTAGGATCAAATGGTGTTTACTGATGCTAATCCCAAAGCAAGCTAATAACTAATGCAAATTTTATAAGGAGCTATAATTTGGCCCTTGATTCTTGTTTTAACTTTGATTGGCACCTGATTGTCTGCTCCTGTTAGCAACCATTGGCAATTCTATATGACTGATATGACTGATTTAATGGAGTGGGTGTATGAGAGTCCATGTTCAGAGTTTGGGGGTGGAGCAGGTTGCAGATTTGCCTCCTCGCCTTTACATGTGGAATTTGCATGTTCACCCCGTGCATGTGTGTGTTTTCTCCAGGTTCCTTCCACAGACCAAAAATGCATGTTAGGTTAATTGGCAACTCTAAACTGTCTCCAGGTGTGAGTGAGAGAATGAATGATTGTCTCTATGTGGCCCTATGATGGACATGCGACCTGGTCAGGATGCATCCTGCCTGCTCCCTGCAACCTGGAAAGCAAAAGCAGGAAAAAAAAAAGGATAAATAATTTGTTTACTTACTTCTAACAGTTAATTCTGATGAAGGGTTTGTAAAATGCAGCATTTTATTATGCAATACTCGCCCTTTTAAAGGTGGCGTGATGTAACCGGACAGTTGGCTTTGAAGACAGGTGTGGGCTGGTCCATTAGTCCTTCTTCATCTGTTAATTATGCAAAAAAAGGCTGGCATGATTTAATGCGTGACATTTGCATTTTGGAAGCTGTAGCTGCAGACACAAGATGTGCTGTCAATATAATTAAAAAAGGCCAGTCTAAGGTTAAAACAAGACATTTAATAAAGAGGTGGAAGCAGCATACAGTTGTCAAATCAAACAACACGTTTATTTGGAAAAAAGCCCGGGTGTACAAAAAGTGCAATTTCAGAAAACTTTACACGAGAAAGCAAATCCTTCTTGACATTTAAGTAAAAAGACAGAGAAGAACCATCTTATTTGAAGCTGTTTTCTATTTCACAGGCACAGTATGTATTACTTCCAATGAAAATTGATCGCAAATGCTGAAAATGACTTAATTTAATTAGAAATCAAACTTATTTTTTGTGTTTTATACTCAGTGACTATAAAACATGGTCAAACATTGACCTTGAAAGAATGTTTATTGAAAATAATGTGCTCAGCCTCATGCTTAGAATAAATGTGAATGATTCTCAGTCACTATCACACAAATTTTGAGCTCAATATCTGTAAAAGTGACAAAGTTCGAGTTCTAGTTAAGTTCTAGTTATATGTATGTGTTTTTAAGGTCAGGCGATTGTGGCAGCCTTTTTGAATCAAGTTAACTCCAAAAGTTAATCAGTTCTTTATGTACACTACCAGTCAAAAGTTTGGACACACCCTCTCATTCAATATCCCAATTCTTTTCCTCTTTCTCCTGCATTACAGATCAATACTGAGATCATCCAGACACTGAAGGAACACATACTGTACGGAACCATGTAGCAAACCCAAAACACCAAAACAAACCAAAATACTGTGTGCTCCAGTTTCTAGATCATTGAAAGAAGGCACCACTTGCTCTGACCACAGCCGTCACACGCTTGGAATTGTTTGGAATTCCTTTAAAACTGTTGGGAAAACCATTCCAGGTGACTGAACTATCCAAAATCCAAAGCATATTCTGGTTTGTTCAACACCTCCAAGTTGTGTTCCTTCATAATTTGGATGACCCCAGTACCAAACCCCTATATAGGAAAAAAATAAAAAATAAAAAGAGAAAATCAATGAATGATAAAAGGTGTCCAAACTTTGATTGGTTGTGTACATCTAGTGATTATTTTCTGCAAATTTCACTCAAAATTTTCCAGTGATTCAAGAAATATTTCGTTCCCAGATAGACACAAACACACAGACATGGGCAAAAACATTATTGTCCAGCTTTGCCTTTTAACAGTTGGTGATTTAATAGAGCAGATACAGTTTTAATAAAACTAACAAAGCACTGGAAAGACAGTATTTATGGATGTGGGTTCCACGTCTAAAGCTGTTGTTTTCTGCACGATTGCTGATAAAGTACTGAAACAAAACCCTTTAATTTGTGGTGTATTTGTTCAAACGCATTAGGACTGTTAAAGATTAAAGGGAGGAATTATGCAAAATCAATTTTTTCAGCTTTATATCCTGTTACAATGTCATTCCCTCATCAAAAACATACCTAGAGTGTTGCTTTGATGTATTCAAGCGTGTTTGAGAAATCCTTGAATCTCTTGCGGTAAACATTTGGACAGTCCCCAGCTGAGCCCCTTTGAACACCCCTCCCCCAAAGCATTGCTTGAAAATGGGATGAAGTGGGAGTGTCTGAAACGGTAGGATGTTCTTGAAGAGATGGAGGCCAATTCCAAGGTGTTTAGATTTGGTTTTGACATACAGTACATAGCATTTTCATACCAACTAAAGGCAACATAGGTACTTGATTGTGGTATAAAATTGAACTATGTGCCTGGAAAACACATAAGCCCCCCCCCCCCCCCCCTTAAGAGTTCCACATACTAAAAAATGTATGTCCTCTATTTTTTCCCAAATGTCTCTATAAACTACCTCAAAGCCTGAGTAAGGTACACCTAGATGCGTGTTTAGCAATATTTTTAAATGTTCTTGTTGAAAAGTGACTAAATCATAAGAGCCTGGGAAGAGAGTCTGTTGCTGAGGGCCATAGAAATGTAATATATATTTATATGTACATATTAGTTTATTGTGCACAATGAGAAAAATCCATGTTTGTAACAAAGGCGAGTAGAAAAGAGAAGTAAAATTTTTGAAATTTTTTTATTTTATTTTTCATGCTTTAGAACAAGGTAGTAATACATCAGCAGCAGTATTAGTTCAGAATATATACAAAACGTTTCTAATAATTCAATAGAACATTTGACAATTGAATCTCTTTTAGAGACAACTATTTTATTTTTGCACACAAAGTAGACCTTTGCACACAAGTACATTATGCTATTGTAATAAATCAATGCAAAAGTTTAGTCATATGAGCTCCATATAACTATAATAATATAAAGAAGAAAAAGAAGAAGAAGATATAGTTGTTTTTTTTCCTCACTTCTTTCTACCGCTCAGGTTTAAGGAAGTCGTTACAGACTTGATTAGCACACTGAAATCCTGCCGTCAGTTTGAAACTATTACAGTACAGATAACCTTTTCGGTCAGGAGAAGGCTACTTCTGACAGTAAAAGACACAGTTCGTGAGTTCTGCACCCTTGTGACATCAGAGTTGTGCTTTGTGCCAAACCCCCCGCAGAGAGTCATCTGGTTTGACCTTCTTGCTCTGCGCCGCTTGCCGTTTCCAAACACAAAAAAGGAGGTTGTGATTGGTTGTGATAGTAGCACCGAAGGCAAGGCTGTGGTTGTGGGCCGATACCGAGGACGCACGGTGAGGCACGGTGTCGGACTAGCACTGGCCCAGGCTGTGCTTGATGATCTCGCGGGACTGAGGCGGGATCCTGTCGGGGAAGAGCACCTGGAACTCCACCACCAAGTCACCTCGCTGCGATGGGCTCTTAGGCAGAGGCAGGCCCTCGCCCCTCAGCCGCCGGACGGCGCCGGGCTTGATGACATCACTGCATGGCAGGGGCATCATCCGGTTGTCGAGTGTCGGGACATTGACTGTGCAGCCGCAGAGAGCCTGGAAACAAGAGAAGGAAAGACAAGGTTAGTCCTGTCATTTATGTCCTGATTTGACTGGAATAAAAAACAAAACAAAACAATATAACTAAGAATCTAAAAATGTTCGGTTTCATAACTGATGATTATGTGTTCTTGTGAAAGAACTGGGTTATACAACAGTGCTACAGATGTTCTAATCACTGCTCTATTTTCTGACTGTGTGTGGGAGTCAAGTGTTTCAGTGACTGATGGGGTGCCAAAGGACGACGGAGGAGCTATTTGAAATGTCAGTCTCTGTGACTGCTGCCCTGCTAATATCTGTGCGTGGGTTGGTGGAAGTGAGAGGCTGAGACAGAGCGAGCCAAAAAAAAAAGAAAAAAAAAGAAAAGCTTGTCGAGGCGGAGGAGTCTGCAGCAAGTGTTCTGGTTGAGGGTGAAGTGCGATTCGTGGGCGCAGTCAGCAGTAAGAGCTAAATTTAGCTCCTTTTTTTTCCTCGCTCTGCAGGGGCTGCTGAGGTAATGGAGGTGTTGGCAGACTGCTGCTGCTAGGTTTGTGGGGGGCTGTCAGCTATTTGTGTGCTGCAGACTGAAATGCCCCAAAAAGAACACTACGTTCTGTACCAAAGTAAAAGATTTGATTGTGGGGGGAGTCTATTTATAGATAAGTGTCCCTATCGTTCCTAGAACAGTTTTCTTGGACCCTGATTGAGAACTCACCTCTTTAAGGGTGATCTGGGCGGTGTAGACGATGTTTGAGCCATCTCTCTTGTAGTTTGGGTGGTCTTCGTCTCTGAGGACGAAGGTGATGTCTGTGGGGGCGCTGTTAAGCGTCTCGTCTCCCTCCCTGGGGAAGGTGATCCTGGTTCCGGCTCTCCAGCCTTTCTTCACCACCACGTTCAGCACCTTCTCCTCCGATCGCAGGCTCTGGCCGTCAGGGTTGAGGCGACTGCGGGTAATCTTTACTTGCTTCGTGCAGCCCTGCATCACCTCATCCAGGGTCACGGGTAGCTCGTGCACCACGGCTTCGGCCTGCAGCCCCCGCTGGCCTTTCCGCTGGCTGGCCTCGTGGCTGGCGAACCCGCCCAGGTTGCTGAAGGTGAACTTCCTGAAGGGGTTGAAGAGGTCGTCTTCGCAGTCACCGTCGCTGCCAAAGAAGATGTCGAAGTGGTCTGAGTTGTGGAAGTTTGAGGAGGCGTGGGGGTCGCTGGGGAAGTTGTTGCGGAAGAGGTTGCTTTGGCTTGTTGAAATTCCATTTTTAAGACCTGAAACAGAAATATCAGATAAAAACATTAAGTTTTTTTGTCTTCTGTTTTCCCAACTGAAAGATTCACTTATTTATAACTCATGTTGCTTCCTGAATACCTAATCAGCCTCGCAGCTGTCATCATGCACATGGGCTGGATAAATGAAGAGTTTTAGTCATGGACCTCCTACTTATTTAGCTTTCAAGTGAACGGAATAACTAATGCACAGTCCCACAACAATCAGCCAGATGGCACTTACATACAAATAAAACCCTAACGGTGTCTCTCTTGAGCTCACCTTCCTCGCCGAACTGGTCGTAGATGCTTCTCTTTTTGGGGTCTGTCAGGATCTCGTAGGCCTCGGCGATCTCCTTGAACTTGTCCTCTGCGTCGGCATCGCTGTTCTTGTCCGGGTGGAACTTGAGAGCCATCTTCCTGTAAGCCTTCTTGATCTCATCCTCGTTGGATTCGGGGGCGACGCCGAGGACTTTGTAGAAGTCTTTGCCGGGGGGCTTGATGGACAGGCAGGGCGCGTCTTGCTCAGACTTGGTGCTCTCCTGCAGGAACACAGAAACACACATTCATGAACATCTCAAATATCTTTGCCTTATATTGGTAGATTATAAATAAACCAGCCATCTCTTATCACTTGAAACAGAACTGGAAGTAATTTTTTTTTTGACATGCAGCAAATCCCTTCGATACAGCGACTCTCAGTGGGGAAACACCCTTATCTCTGTGCTACAGTGCAAATGCTGAAATTTCATAGGCTGACGATTCACACAACGTGAGATGAGGGCTAAAACCATGTGAAGAGACCGTGAGAGGAAAAAGCCTTCCCCCCAACGACTGAGGTTCTCTGCAGCGATTGGCTGAAAGAGAATCAGCATCTCTAGCATGTGAATGAATCCCAGATGCCGGTATAGTAAAAATACAAGTTCGGTAAAAGAATTAAACATTGTTTTATCTTTAAACTAATCACCCAGTTGTGAGAGATGATGAGTTTTTAGATCATTTTTAATTTAAAAAATAATAATAATAACTTACCGCTGATGATGAAGAGCCGGAGCTGTCTCCTCTGTGCATAACCCGCACCTTGCACTTGACATTGCCGTTTTTCTGCTTCACACCAAACTGAGTCCAGATGAGAACCATGTTGCAGGTTTTGTGTTGAGTGTCGCTGTCCGCTCGCTGTGGTTCTGAAACAAAGAGTGGCTCCGATGCTGCTCCTGAGCTCCTGTTCGGTGTCTGCGAGCTCTCCGCCTCTCCGTTAAATACCCGCTCCCTTTACGAGCCGCTGCCCACGCAGCGCCACGCTCGAGCTTTCCCTGGGACCGCCCATTTCCTGGCGCGCGGCAGGGGGATGCCGGTGATGATCGCGCGGATGTTGCAGCCTCTTTCTCCATCTCGAGACTTGCTTCCGGAGTTCTTGCAGGCAGAGCCGAGCAGACAGTCACGACACAGAACACAGAGTCCTCTTTTTCTCCACAGACAGAACAGCAGACCAGACTGTACAAAAAACAAATGTCTGCAGAGACAAACTCCAGACAGAGCTATAATCAGAGATGGACATTTTGTCCTCACATTATGTTCCTTGTGTACCACTTGTTTATGGATGAAGAACCTATTTGTCCTTTTCCCTATTTTAGCTAGTGTTTGGCTTATTATAAAACACAGACTATGATCAAGTGTTTACATAAGAACCATACAAAATCTATGCTGCATGTCTCCCACAACCTTGGATGCCAGAGTTGTAACTATTTTGGTCAAACCATGAAAGCATCTTTGTCTTATGGAATCTGTGAGTGCTTGAAGTATGAGTTGATGATCACTCAGCTACCACACCAAATCATAGCTTGGTATCTGTAAATCTGCCTGAGTTATAGCCATTTTTTTGTATTTTTTAAGGTCAGATAGCTGTGGTAGGCATCTCGAATTGGTTTGCCTCTGAAAGTTAATCAGTTGTAGATACAGATGCAGTGATTTCTTCTTGAGCATTTCATCAAAATCCACCCACTTTTTCATGAGATATTTTGCTAACAGGCAGACAAAATTGCTTTTGATGCTTAATGGCAAACTTTTAAGCAAACACCTCATGCAATCAGTTGCCTTTTGGAATATGAATTGCGTATGACTCAGTTTTACCACATGAAATCTTAGCTTGACATCTGTAAAACTGATTAAATTTGAGGCATTTCTGTATTTTATAAGGTCAGTTACACATGGCAGCCATCTTGAATGGGGTTGATTTTAAAAGATATTCAGTTGTAGATATGCATTTGCTTATTATTTTCTGAGAATGTCATTATAGTCTGTCCAGTGGTTCACACGATATTTTGCTTACAGACAAACGCAGACAGAGGCAAAAAACAACATAAACTCATGCCTTTTGTATTTGGTGGCAGGTAGTAACAAGGTTCACTACAAAAAATATATAAATTAAAAAAATAAATAAATAAAACCCTGAATGAGATGAAGATTCTTCACTGAAAATACAAATAGTGTATAATAATTTGGAGAGTGGGGTGGGGTGTTTATGTATTTTTATTGTTGGTTGTTTAATGTTTTATTTTGTATTGTTCTCATTTTTCTGTTATTTTCTTTTCTTGTTTTTATTATTGTTGGATGTTGTGTTGAGGACTGCAGATGTAAACTAGCCGTAGGCTAAATCTGGTGCAATGCATCAAATGTTTTTATGTTTATGTTTTAATTGNATCAAACTCATGATGAAATGAGTCCTTTCTGCACTCTAAAAATGAAATGTTGAATTTGAATTGAATCGTTTGAATTGCTGGATGCTGTGTTGAGGACTGCAGATGTAAACTAGCCGTAGGCTAAATCTGGTGCAATGCATCAAATGTTTTTATGTTTATGTTTTAATTGCACATTGTCCTTATAAATAAAATAAAATTCACTCAATAAGCTTAAAGAACAAAACACTTATTTTTCAGGAAAAAGTGTTAAGTGTTTTCTCATCGGACCACAAAGCCCCATCACAGTCTGTCATGCTTTTATAAAACTTATGCACTCCCAGGTTTTGTCATACAGTATTTTCAGCTGCAGAGGGTGGTAATTTCCTTGATATTAGCATCCATTAATTGGTTTATAATAAGTGAACAGGTGTCCCAAACAACAGTGTTTTATATGAAATGTAACACACAGGTGAGCAGATTGCTGTAAGGGTGATTTTATTGCTTTTAAATCTGTCAGAGAGGTTGTGCACCTTTAATACTTCATAACGCAAAAGAAAAACATCATGAGCTGAATTGCTTATTTGTTCCAGTGACCAACATTCTGTCTCTTTGTTCTTTGACAGAATGGAGCTATTATGGACATTTTTAGGTCTAGATGGTGCACTTTAGACCAGGCAGGTAATTATAAAAATGCAGCCACCCTTGTAGGTTGGGATAATTATGCTGCTGGAGAAAAAAAAAAAAAAACTAAATGCAAACTAAAGCACACAGACTACTTTTACTGTAGAGTGAACAGATGTGGGAGGAAAAGGCAGCTTGCTGTTGTGTAACTGAATGTGTTATAAAAATAAGACTTGTGATGTTTGGTAGCTGTTGACACTGTGGACTGTGTGAAATTTGAAGCTGTTGACTGAAAGATGGTATTCAGTTTGGATTTTGACTAAACTGTCATTTGCAAATTAGAAATGTCACTTCAGTCAATCAAAAGAGTATTCTGGGATTTATGAGTTCTATTGTCTGATTCTAGCTGTTCATGATGCACCAAACATTTTGAACTGATTCAGTACCCAGACTCTTTTAACTACTGTATAACTATGAAACCATACCGTTGCAATGAATGTAGTGGTCTAATATTGTCTTGCTGAAATATTCAATGTTCTTAAAAAATACCATCAGAGAGGCAGGTAATGGGCTGGATGGTACCTCTTCTTTTTGGTACAGTGGATGTGGCGTATGTGCTTTCTACACAGAAGTTTGAACTTTGATCTGTGTGACTGAAGAACCGTCTCTGCTTTAGTCCGGAGATGACAGTAGCCTTTTTGAAGGGTTTTCACAAATGGCTTCTTTTTAACCAGCATTTGTGGACGGTGAACTGTGTTTTCAGACGATCTGTGAAAGTGTTCCTGAGCCATCACTGACGTTCACAATAGAATCAACCCTGTTTTTAATGCAGTGCTGCCTGAGGGCCCAAGATCATCCAATGCTGACTTTCAGTCTCGTTCTTTGCACACAAAGTTATCCAGATTCTTGAAATCTTGAATATTATGAACTGTAGATGCTTGGATATTCAAAGTTTTCCCCGAATTTCTGTTGCGGAACATCATTCTGAAACTGTTGCACTATTTTAGATGTGTTTTTGGCAGACTCATTGCTATGGCTGAGCACCACTAACAAACAACTGAGCTCTATGTGGTATTTCCTGCATAGAAACAGCGTTTTATCAAGTCCTCTTATAAACATTGAAAAGTACTATGTGTACAACAAGTAGTTTATGGTCCAAGCTGGCTTTAAGGAAGCATACATTTATTTTCAGACATTAATACCAGCCGGTTCGGATGTTATCAGGCCATTAAATGGACGTTATTAGCGGTTATCAGTCCCATGGAATGGCTTCAGACCAGTGGGTTACCAGTGCCATGTTGGAATGCAACAATCTGCTACCACCAGAGTCTAGTCTACTTTATTGTAGCCCATGTCATTTTCTCTAAAATTAACCTTAGTGGCTTTATGCCTCATATGAACCAGATTGCATAAAAATCCTTAGTGGCTTTATGCCTCATACTAACCAGCTGACAGTCTGAAGCCATTCTATGAAACGGAGAACCCACTAGGCGGCAAAGTCAGGACAGTCTGAAGCCAGTTTGAAGCCATTCTATGGGACTGATAATGGCTAATAATGTCCATTTAATGATGATAACATCCAAAGCAGGTGTTAATACTAAGAGTGCAACGATAATTTGTCTGGAGGGTTATCAGCACTGATTTCCTTAATTTTGAGAGATGGGCTGATATTTAGATAAGATTGGTGGAAAAGATTGGCTTCTCATCTACCTCCACAAAGGGCTGAAAATCAGCCACTTTTTCCTTGTGCTCTGCTGTGAGCACTACCTAATGTCCAGTTAAAACAAGTTTGTATTGTTTCAAGGGTATTATTCAAGGTTTTGCAATAAAATAATATTGAAACATTGAAGGTGCATTGTGACCTTAGAACACCCAACAGTGTCAGTTATTTAAAATATCGGTATTGGACAAACTCAGGATTGGCAGGTCTGACTTTTTAAAGATCACTGATTGGCCAGAAAACTGCAGTTGGTGCACCCCTTACTAACACATCTTTGAAGCTCTCACAGACCACATAAAATGCTGTGGTGGGCTATATTTTTCCCCTGGACCTTGAGTTTCATCAATGCACTCTAAGAGATTCAGCCTCTCTAAAATCTCTTTCTGTACCCAGTTTTCTTACTGATCTGTTGCCAATAAATCTAATTATTTAGAAAAATCTATTTCAGCTGGATCTTATTTGTACATTTTTCAGCCTTTTCTGTCCTTTTTATTAAATGTGTTGTAGCCAAAACAGTCACACATATCTTTTTTCAGCGCCTAGTTTATACATTTGATAGTTTTGCTGTTACACTGTGAAAAAATATGAACTGGGATTGTATAATCTTTAATTCTTCCAAAGTATTTCATCTGAAAAAACAAAAAAACAAAAAAACCAAACCCAAAAAACAAAGCAACTATCATCTAGTGTTTATTTAATGAATCTAAAGAGGGTAAGTAGAATGCATTGAAAAGCCTCTTCCGTTACTTCAAATCCAGCTTATTTACAAAACTCACTCTGTGTAGGTCATACACTGAGGAAACGTTGCAAGTAATCTGTTTCTGTGCCACTTTTTCACTCCCATTGAAGTGTGTGGATCTATTTGAGGCAGCTCTACACATTCTACAGCATTACGACACAGACTCCTGCTGAAACCATGGAGCTGAGAGCAGAGTCACAGAGAGCGTACATACAAGGCAATGCTTCCTCCTCTGTCAAGCTTCCTCCAATCAGGAATGGAGTTTCCTGGGGATTCTCCTGCCGTCTTTCAGGAAACGGAAGACAAATATGGTGTAAATATGATGAGCCAGGAGCGTCATGCACCAAATAGCAGCTCTTACATTTAGCTACTATTCACAACTTGGAGTGAATCAGAACAGCCAACACACTCTATCTCTCTCTCTCTCTCTCTCTCTCTCTCTCTCTCTCTCTCTCTCTCTCTCTGCCCATGTGAACAGCTTGGGTAGTTTTTTAATTTTATTTTTTTTACACATTCACACTATCTCGCTCTTTCTTGCAGAAACACAAAGTGTCCTGTCAGTCTCTCAGACATAAATACCAGTTAAAGCATCAAGCAGCTCTGACACTGTTATTGTTAGCTGTCAAGACGGCTGGCGTTCATCCTGTTGTTCTTGTGATTTTTGCTGTTCTCACACATTAAGTTGTAACTGTAATGAAAAGCTCTATT